TCTTCATTCTTCACCTTGATCTGATGGTACCCCCATCTCAAGTCAATCTTCGAGAACATTGCTTCTCCCCTCAGCTGATCCATCAAGTCGTTGATTCTAGGAAGTAGATACTTGTTCATGATCGTCACCTTATTCAACTATTGATAATCCACACATATCCTCATACTTTTATCTTTCTTCTTCACCAAGAGCATTGAATTTCCTCACAGTGATACACTCGATTTCACTAACCGCTTGTGTAACAAGTTTTCCACTTGCTTCTTGACCTCTGCCAACTTCATTGGTGACATCCTATATGGTGTCACAAAAATCGGGCTTGCTCTTAGAATGAGGTCAATGGAGAATTCTATCTCTCTTTCTGGCGATAACTCTAAAACATCTTCAGGGAAGACTTCCAAGAAGTCTCTCACCACTGGGATATAATCCGGTTCTACTCCATTTTCAGCCTCTAGCAAGAACATGACCATGAAGGCCTTAGCACTCACCGTGTTCTTCCACGCACCTTAGCTCAAAAGCTTTGGAATTTCAGTCACTAACGCACCAAAAATCAATGTCTTCTTTCCGCAGTCCAATAACACATGGTTGGCAGCTAGCCAATCAATTCCCAAAATCACGTCCAATTGGGAGAGAGACAAATAGATTAAGCCCACCTCAAATTCCCTATCGTGCACTATTATAGCACATCCCAAACACACCCACGACATTACAACCAGTTTATCCGTAGGGGTAGTCACCACAATATTGCACGACAATTCTGTCACATAGAAGCCCAAACACTTCACACATTCCACAGATACAAAAGAATGCGTAGCACCCAAGTCAAACAATACATCGAGTAATCTGCCCTTAGTAATGCATTTACCTCAAATCAGCTCTTCAGATTATAAAGCCTCTACCCCACTCATAGCAAAGACTCTCCCAAGAATACTCGGCTTTAGCCTCATGCTCCCTCTTAATTTGGGCCTCTAGGTTGTGCTTGCATTGCCGCTCTTCTTAGCAATCCAACACACATTAGCAGTGTGCCTCAACTTTCTGCAGTTGCCACAGTTAGTTCATAGCTGTATGCAATCTCTCAGCATGTGTGGCCCTCCACACCTAAAGCACTTGATCAGCCCTCTGAAAGAGCCTGAATCTAAGTCACTCCTACTGCTTATCTCTTGTGATGAAGTTCTTCTGAATTGTGAGTGGCTGAAGCTCGAATACAACCCCTTCAAAAACCTAGGGTGTCTTCTGTTCTGCCTCATTGGACCACTCCTCCTAGTGTCCACAATCTTCCCTTAGAATTTGCTTTGAAGATTCTGCACTTGCTCACCAAAGTGGGCAAGTCGATTAACTAGAATACGCTGACTGCAACTCAGATCTCTAGCCTTAGTTCGTGTTCAAACTGAGCACACAAGTCCTTCTCTTTATCCTCGTGTTGGTAGTGAGGCCAGTACTTTAACTCTTGGAATTTTGTAATATATTCCTCCACAGTCATACTCCCTTGCTTCAGCTCAAAGAATTCTCTAGCCTTTTGCTTCTTCAAGTCCCAGGCAAAATAGTTCCCAAGGAAGCTTGCCTTAAATGCTTCCTATTGAACATAGCCACCCTCATGCGGCAAGGTCTGACTGGAAAACCTCCACCAATCCTCTGCTTCCCCACATAACATGTAGGTGGCATATGTCACCTTGTGCTCTTCCTGCACCCCATCGTATAGAAGATCTTCTCCACATTAGCTAACCACCTCTGGGCTCTCTTAGGGTCGAACATCCCTTCAAACTTAGGAGGATTATGCCTAGTAAAGGCAGACAATCCTCGGTACTCAGCCGGCTCTGCATCTTGGTTGTGCACCAGGGCTTCTAGAACTTGGGTCATTCGCTTTAGGAGGTCATTGGTGACTCCAACTCCTCTACCTCTACCGGCCATTTTAATCTAAGTTGGCAAACAATTCAACAAACCACACTTTAACTCATTAGGTCAACAACAACATTTATAATTTAGGTAAATAAAACATATCAACACACAGCTTAGACGTTTCAGCCCAATGCCTCAGTCCAGTTTGAATGAACTACTCTTATACCAAAATTATAATACCTTAATTTAATTTTTCAAATAAATACATTTAGCAAAAATGGGAATAATAAAAATTTTCATTCAAATGGTTTCCAATACATAGTTCATCAAAGTATTTCAAAATAGGATGGATTACAAATTTGAATCAATCATTGCTACAGGACTTAATTAATACATTTCAGTTTTAAAAAAATAACTATTCTAAGTCTTATAGCAGTATCATCCATCCCTTCACTAAATCTGGTGCTGATCGTTTTAGTCATCTGAAAAATAAATGTAAGGGTGAGTACTCTACACCATCACACGCACATAAACAAGCATAGAGTCTCACCTTACCCATTCCACACATTTTCTAACATATTTTAAATCATGCATCAACAAGTACAAGGCATTAATTTCATCATTTCATTCTCAATTGCAAACAGGTGTGCTCACTGCACCATCAAACATTCATCATATAATACCCATGTGCGCTCACTGCATGCTAGCCACACTCATTGTAGCACTGTGATCACATATTTCTGATGCTATCAACTTCAGGGACTTACTCAGTTCACACTATGGATGGTTGCCGGATAGCTCCAGCCACACGAAAATGTGTGCGATACTGAGCTCTCCAAACAAATATGTTAGTCAAAGGTCGAGTCAAGAGGAGAGTGTGTGGCTTGTGGTGCACACACGCTCATTGTTGGTTCACCACCATCCTCTCTTCCCCGAGGTATTTCTACCGTCTCCATCTTCCACATTCCAATGTATCGCTGAACCATTCATAGTTTTCCAACATATTCACATACATCCATATTCATATTTAACATGTTGTTTCACACACTTTCAACCATTTTATGTTATTCAACATCAATCAATGGCATGTCTAAGCATTTCAACCACATTGCAACCAAACATTTTACCACACATTATAATCAATATCAATCACATTGCATTCCACACAAAGTCCACATTATAAACAAATCATAATCAACCATTCCATCATACACATCATTCAATCGCTACCATATCGTATTCCACACGAAATTTCCACTAAGGTACACATTTTCCTACATTCTATCTCAACCACATTTCATTATCTAGCTCTAACAACGAATTTCAAACCAAAAGAGACAGGGTAGACTCCCCCCTTACCTTGGATTGAAGACCAAAACACAAAATCAACGATAAACGTGCTCCCCAAATGAATTTCGTCCTCCAAGCGTTCTAAACACAATTCCAATCTACAATCAAGGTCCCAAAGGAAAAAGTGGGAAATAAAGTTTTGAAACCTTAAATTCCTCAAATACCCCTCTGGCCGCAACATTCTCACTACAGCGGGACATCCCTCACTACAAAGAGGACCTCGCTGCAGCGACATCTCCTCTTGCTACAGTAAAAATCTCAAAAGAAACTGCACTCTGGTTTCTACAGAATCTTGCTACAACAAGATTGCATCCAGAAATGTACCATTTTCTGTTACCTTCTCATTGCAGCGAGAAGCCTATCGCTACAGAGAGAATGTAACAGAATCACTCAACTTGCCCAGGACCTTCTCGCTATAGCGAGAATGCCTCTATAACATACACTTAGCCTGTTTTTCAATCCAATTCCAACTCAACTACTAGTCAAACATTCTCAATCAATTCACATATATTCCTTCACACTTATTCACATCATAACATAGTTAAATACACATATCCAATCACATTTCGATCACACTATACATATATCTTCACAATTATATTCACATCCAAATCATCACACAATCAAATGCACATTCAAATATCAATTCACATATTTATTTTAATAATCAAATAGTTTACAAATCTCAAGGTGTTACATGGATAAAAGTCTATCAAGAGCTATTGGAAACAAACTTATAGCAAGTTACCTCCAAAAATGGTGCACGGGAGATTTGAGATAGCAATATACATGTGTTTTGTTCTATGAGAATGGGAGAAAAAGGTTATGAGAATGAGAAAGAGAGGAGAAAAGGAAGGCTTAAAAGAGTCAAAAGGAACAGAAGGAGAGGATGAAACATAAGGTTATGGGAGGGAGGGGAAGTTGTAAGAGAGGGAAAGGAGGGGCTAGAGTAAAGGGAGATAGGGCTGGTGGGTTGAGGGGAAAGAGCAAGGGAGCTGCGAGAGGAGGAAGGAGAGGAGAAAGAAAAAACTTCTCAATTTTTCAATAATTTTTTAAATGAAAAAAAATTTAAGTTTAATTAAATAAATGGCGTTAAAGCCATCTTAGCGCAACCTAAAATATTTTTATTAAGTCATATAATAGAGCTAACAAAAATGATTAACGTGAAGAAAAAAAAGTTTGAGAGTGAAATTGAATAAAAAAGAAGTTAAAAGACAAAATCAAATTTTACCTTTAAAGGACGAAAATACTAATTTTACTTTGTTTTTATTATGTGATTAATTTTTTTCATTCCTATAATTATTTAAAAAATTATTAAAAATAATATAAAATTTATCATAATTTAAATAAATTAATTAAATATTATAATAAAAAAATATTATCATAATAGTCACCACTTTTATATTATCCTTTAATTAATTTAGGCATTTATTACTATTATTATCATTACTATTTTCTATTTAATAAATAAATTTAAATGTCACAACTGATTTGTATATTTTAAAATTTAAATTTAATGTTAAACATTATAAAAAAAACTAAAGCTAAAATCATAATAAAATTTTAAATTTCAACTTTATATATTAAAAAATATTATAGAAAAATAGCTTTATTATGTTATGAATATTTTTTATTTTGAGTAAAATTACTTTTCAAAAATGATACTTGTATATTAGATAATAAAAATAAAAAAAAGAATTAAAAGAAAATTATGATAAAAATAAAAAATTAATAATAAAAAGTGAATGCAAAAAATAAAATAAAATCTACTACATAAGACGTGCACGCATTTTGCACATCCAACCTTCTATATTTCACCACACACACCCGTCACTCACAGAGCAGCACAGACCAATCTCTACACTACACAAAAAAGAACCCTCTTTCCTTGCACAGAATGGCCGCCGCAGCACCTCCACCGCCGCCAACTCCGGCGCCGGAGCCCGCCATGATCCTCCCGGAAAAGGCCCCAGTGGGTCACCCTCTCTTCACCCGCATCCGTCTAGCCACCGTCTCAGACGTTCCCCACATCCACAAACTAATCCACCAAATGGCCATCTTTGAACGCCTCACCCACCTCTTCTCCGCCACTGAATCCTCTCTCTCTTCTACCCTCTTCTCTCCTTCTTCCCACCCATTCCACTCCTTCACCATCTTCCTTCTAGAAACTTCAAGCAACCCCTTCACTCCCTCACCCTTCGACTCCAACCCCTTCTACACTCCCTCCCTCAAAGTCCTCAACCTGGATTTGCCCATCCACGATCCCGAGAGGGAAACCTTCAAATGCCAACACGACGACGATGTTTGCGTCGCTGGGTTTGTCTTGTTTTTCCCCAACTACTCCAGCTTTTTGGGGAAACCTGGGTTTTATGTTGAGGACTTGTTTGTTAGGGAGTGTTATAGGAGAAAGGGTTTGGGGAGAATGTTGCTCTCTGCAGTGGCCAAACAAGCCGTGAAGATGGGGTATGGCAGGGTTGAGTGGGTTGTGCTTGATTGGAATGCCAATGCTATCAGGTTTTATGAAGAGATGGGTGCTAAGGTCTTGCAGGAATGGAAGATTTGCAGGTTAACTGGGGAGGCTCTTCAGGCTTATGGAGGTTCTGATTAAAAAAATGTTTCTTTTTTTATTTGAGAACTTTTGAGTTTAAGTGTTTCGCTTTCGAGTTTGAAATTATACGACTTGTCTTTTTAATTGGATTTCTGTGTTTTTTTTAAATTTATTATTACTGTTTCTGGTGTTTTGATTGTAAGTACAAAATATGAGTCCCGGATTCCCAGCACCGTTTGCTATCTATCTGTCAAAATTTGACTTCACTGTTGTTTTAGCGTCTAGGAGGCTTACGGAGGTGCTAATTAAAAATGCTCTTTTTATTATTATTGAATATAGATTTGGAATTAGGCAAGTTTTTACTTTTCTGGGTGAAATTTGAGAGTAAACATTTCGATGTTTTCTGCAGGAACCTGTCATTTTTAATGATTTTTTTATCTGGTATAATTCATTGTGCATGTTGTAATGTTTATGATTGGTCCTTGATATGAAATAGTGGTTAATCTTTGTCTTTACAAAGCTTGAGAGGTTTAAATTTTTTATTCAAAGTTATTGTGAGATAGCAATGTAGAGCCTCCCCAAATCTGCACCACTTATTAAACAGATTTCAGACTTTGATGTTATTTTAGTGATACGTAGAGCTTAGTTTAAATCATACTTACTGTAAGACATGTTGAACTGTGCCACATAGAATTATGTCAGTTCTGGTATAGTAAGCGTTCTTACTGAATTATTTCATTGTTTTATCTTTTTCTTTATTTGTGTTTTAAAAGTTTTCTTCGTTTTATGGAGCAAGAAACTCGTAATGGCATTGAATAAAGTGGTGTTAGCCAATTTCTATACGTGGAAGCATCTTGATTCTTGAGGCTTCTTTCGGTTGTATCAAGAAGAATATTTATCTAGTGAACCGCTTCCAGGTGTCTCTTGGGTCCTGATTTCGGGTGCTTTTTTGTTGTCAAACAGTGGTTCATTATCATGTGCACGACGCCAGCTAACAAGCCTTAAAAAATGGACATTTGAGAAATCTTCTGATAGTGATATATGATAACAATGTTTTAGAATTGTGGTTTAATTTTTGTAAATTGATTTTTTGTATTAATTAATTTTTTATAAAAATATCTTTAATAATGATAAAGAAACAATTAATTAGATGAAAAGAAAGTAGTATAAAATAACTTTACATGTAGTTTTAAAAATGTTTGAATTGTTCATAAATTTAATGTTCTGAATAAAATTAATTAGATTTTTAAATATTGTGATGGGGTTAAAAGGATTTTATATTAATGACCAGACGTAGTACATTAATTTTAAAATTTTATTTTTAAATAATTTTTTAATTGATTTTAAGTTTTAAATTTTTTACTTTTAATTTTATTTTTTTAATGTAGTTTTATTTAATATTAAAATAATTATTATTATTGATAAAAAATATTCTTAAATCTACAAATGATATTCAACGAAAGAGAAGTGAGAAAAAGTGAGATAAAATAATTATGATGAAATACAGTAATGTTATAAAAAATGTTATATGAACAATACAATTTTAAATGATTTACATGGTTTAAGATTTTTAATGGAACAATTTTTCAGCCTGATCAATGATTTTCACTTTGGCGAAATCTGATTTCTTTGTTTCCACCTACGTTCAGTCGGGCCTCCATAGTTCTTGACAAGCGAGTAGTTGCAAGAAAGTTTACACAACAAATCCAAGACAGTGAATTCAAATAGGTATAAATAATGTTCTAATATATTCGTAAGTTAGTATTTATATATAAAAAATTTATAAATCAGTTCTTATGCATATATTTATTTTTGATTTAGTTTCTGTCATTAAGTTTAGTTTCTATAATTAAATTTAGAGTAAATGATATTAAATAAAAGACTAAATTAAGAATAAATATAATATAAAAATTAATTTACAAATTTTTTACACAAAAACTTACAAAATTTTACATATAAGAATTAATTTACAAATCTAAATCAAAAATATTTTTATAAATTTGCAATTCACTTTTAATTTATATCTTAATTTTGCGATTTACCTACATTCTCTGTTACACCTCCATCTCTAATTATACTATCATTATTATTCTTCTTTCTTTACATAAACTTTAATGGAGGCCAAAGTCTCTTTTCTTCTTAGTTTAACATCCTCAAAATTCAATCAACTCTTAACAACAATCTTCACTAAATTATCTTCTCTTCTCAGTCACTTCACTATCTTTACTCTCACTTTTACCCACACTTTCATCAAAACCTTCTTCATCCTCAAATGTAATCTAGCAACATAATTACTAACGCATTCATCTATACCTTTATTCACTCTCTCAACACCATCAAAATCAAAATACGACAAAAAGTGTATTACAAATTTATAAAAATATTTATAAGTTAGTCCCTATACATAAAAATTTATAATTTAATTCCTATATAAAAAATTTGTAAACCAATCTTCATGTTAAATTTATTTTTATTTAATCATTTACTTATTTAACATAATTTACTTTAAACTTAACAGTAAAGACTAAATTAAAAATAAAAATATATATGAAAACTAACTTACAAATTTGAACTAAGTATAAGAACCAAACATTATTTAAACCATTCAAATAAAATAACTATAAACTCTTTAATTTAGTAAAACAAAAAATGAGTAAGACAAATTAATTTAAGTATATGTAATTAAAACTTGACATGAAAAATAATATAATAGAAAAGTTTTTATTATAATTAATTGGAAAGTTCAGATTAAAAGATAAAAGTTATTTTAGCATGAGATAAAAGAAAATATTTTAAAATGCATTAAACTAAATGTTAAATAATGAGTAAGTCGATTCATTTAAAAAATTATGATAAATAAAATATACTCATATTTCAATATTATATTTGAAAATTATAGATTTTATAATTTTATATTAAAGACTACAGATAATATTTATAAAACATTTAGAGGGGATCACAACCCACCCTTAACAGTTAACACCCTCTTCCCAGGTCCATCTCTTGTAATATGTGTAGAGGATTCTCTACCACATCCATCTGTCATTGTTATGCCATAATCATGAAAATATTGACGTAGTTTTTCTTAGTAGACTAACAAATGATTTTCTTTAATTAATAAATTAATTTCTGTAATTAATTCATTTATTCCGAGTTACATATATTAAGATTTAAAGTTCAAATAAACTCCCGCATAAAACTAACTCAAATATTCTGTACTGTAGACTTCTAACCATCGCAAGAGTTTAACATCAAGTTTGTAAAATAACTTCACTGCTACATACAAAGCTTGATTTTCAAGCTGGATGAATTTTTTTGCTCTTGCGTTGCCATTCACCCTCAATGTCCTTTAGAACATCTAGGATACCAAGAATACCCAAGAGGGGAAGTCCGCCTGACCACTTACCACCGCTGCCTCCATTGCCACCATTGCCATCATCATCACGAGGTGGCATTCCAGGTCCATTGTCATCAAGCTTAGGGGACTTCACTTTGTCTGTCATTTCAGATGAAGCATTAGCATATTATATTTGCACAAAGATATTGAACATACAAAATATTCATTAACATAATTAAAGGATAACAGACAATAACCACAAATGGTAATACTGAAATCTATATATATTTTCCTGAGGTAGAAAGAAATATATTGGATAAGAGGAAGACACATAAAAACACACAAAACATCCTTCCATTTTGCTTTCAGCAAAGAAGACAGCTTTGAAGCTTCTAAAGAAGCATTTTAAGCCTCCTAAATCCTTTAGACTCGCCATAATTTACCATTTTTGCGAATCTTTTTTAAGTTCCTTTTTAGCTTCTTGTTGTTCTTCATACTATAAGTATTTGACAAGAAAGCTACCTTTAACTCCTCATTCAAGAGTTTAACCAATTTATCCCCATCGAGTCAAGAAGACGTGTAGATGATGCCTATCGCTTGTTTTATGATTATAATAAAAAGGATTCAAGAAAACCATTGACTACGCACTTTATAGGACAGCTATCTGAAGGAAGCATGAATTTGAACATATATGCCATAATTATTAGATGTTCTTACCTTTCACACCTATAAATCCCAAACAGTTCCACATTTAGGTACGTCAAATAACAAAGACAGATGTGCATGGGAAGAAAAAGAAAGAGAAAATTACAAATATAAACAGATAAATAAGTATGTGATGACTAGAATATTAAATGGGAAGAGGCTAACACATTGAAAGATGTGAACTTGTCCCACGTAAAATAAACTATTAAACTTCGTAATCAAAGTAGAGGCACAATGTATTTACTGCATGTGCATCACTCCCATTTGGCATAATATTTCGTATAAGAGAGAAGTTATTACCAGGAGTAATAGTAATTGACCGAGAATTGCGTGTTACGGTTTGGGTTGCACTTGCACTAGCAGCACATTTAGTATTCTGTAGAAAGCATAAGACAAATGATCAGAATATATTAGATCATCAAACAATTAAGACCAACATCTCCGCCATTGCCAATGGTTAACCTAGAAAATCATAACTATCAAAATTGGGGCTGAAACTAAGGACAAAAAAACAAAATGCTACATCTACTTCCATCCTAAAACATCACAAAAATGCCCAAAAGAATGTTCATTAATATGCAAGAAATCAATAAACACAAAACACTAAGGCCGTTTGGATAACATGATAGGATAGAAAATGAGAGTTGGATAAATATAGGATATGATAAACGAATAATAAAGTTGTCTTATCCTATGTTTGAAGTACATTAGGATAGTAAAACACAACATTAGTCATCATGTTCAATATTATAAACAAAAGATAATTGAACAAGATATAAGTATATTTAAATCAAACTATTATTTTATAATTTTTTAAAATAAATTTTTATTTAACTTTTTGACTTTTCAATATATAAGACATGATCTGTTGACACTAGGTGTCAAACTGACTTTTTATAGAACTTGATCAATTAAACTATTGAATCATCTGATATTATTTTTATAATTATGTATATTAAATTTCACATAATTTGAACATTTATAAATTTTATCCATAATTTAATATTTACTCATATTTTAAAAACATATTATCCATTAAATAAAGTAATGCGATGAAATACCTATTAGTTTTATTTTTATATGAAATTTTATAAAGTTGATCTACTTGATAAGAACTTTCAAACCAATAATTAGATTAATTAATTTTACATTCTATAAAAAGTTATTATGTGATGTAAGTTTTTTAAAATTTGACACCTAGTGTCAGCAAATCCTACCTATTTATAAATATAAAAGCATTTTTATGTACATATAATACTAAAATTTGATATTAAATTATAGTAATTTTTCTTTAAATTAAATCATTTTATAAAAAGAGTAAAATATTTTTTATGAATATACTTTTTCTAAAATGTTTCTTATTAAAAGATGTTCAAAACTTCAAAAGATAGATTTTATAAAATATTAAGAAAAGTGTAATGAATAAGAAGGTACTAGCAAAAAAAGTTACAACTCTATTCTAATATTTCATAATCCATCACTCTCCTTAGGATAAGAATTTAAATTATGATGATAAGATAATTTAATAGGATAAGCTATCATATCATATTATTCAGCAAACATCGAAAATAAAATAACTATCCTATCCTGTTATCTTATTTTGAGTGGTACACAGGCCGTAAATGTCTAATTCTCTACTTAAAAGTATAACTGAACCTGAGCAGCCCTTGATCCACATGTATAGAAGGGGATGACTCAAACCACCTGTCCCTTTTGCCTATTCCTTTCCTTATCGCACTTTCTCATATAGAAAAATGACACATCACTGAAAAATTTCTCTCCATCAAATATCAACATTCTCTCTCTTAATTTGATAGTTCCTTTTTTCTTTTCTTGTGTTACATTTTAATTGGGGGATAAGGAAGGAAACATGTAAAAGTGAATGAGATTTGATTCTAGGAGGGAAGGATTGTAACACCCTCAATTTTGTGGTCATTGTATAAAAAAAAAAAGAGTTTTGGCACAGCAAGAAATATACGTCCAAAATCAGACATTCTGATGCTCTCTCGCTGCAGCGAGAATGCTCTTCCTGTAGTTAGAATGACAGACAGTAAAGAAAAATTTTGTCTGATTTTTTCGCTGTAGTGAAAAGAGGGCTAGCTGTAGTGAAAATATCGCAAGTTAAGGGGTATTTAATGGCTAAAAAACTTATATTACAATTCAAAATTTTGACCTTTCCTCTATTCTCTCTGATCTCTCACCCTCTCTTCTCAAAAATCCTCCTCTAAACTTCCAATCTTCCTTCAAATCCGAGCTTAGGAGCTCAACCATTCAAATCCAAGTAAGTTTCTTCAAATTTGATTCTTCAACATCATTCTTATTTCTCCCTTTTATCCGATCTAAAGAATTGTACTTTATAATACTCAAGGAAACCTTAAGTCCTGATACGATATCCTCTACCAAGAGGTTGTGCCTCTCCCTTGAATCTCTAGGAAAGCTCGATCTGAGAGACCCATTTCTAGGTAAAAGGAGTTGATTCCAAACCCTAACTCCTTGGTATTTTAGTTAGAAAATGCTAAGTTTCTATTGGGACCCTAAAATACTAAGATTTTCTTAAAAATCTAATGTGTAAGATAGAGTTTAATACAAAAACCCCCTTTTGAACCCTAACTTCAGTATTTTATTTTGAGTAATAGAACTCTAATGATTCTCTAAATTGTATTACTACAAAAGAAATTTTAGGTATGAGAAACTAATAATTTAATCCAAAGATCATCTAGATAAAATTTTATAGTGAAAAGATGAGTAACTAAGTTTTTGAGAAACTATTATTTACGTATGAACAAGTGATATTAAACTTTAGGATATATCACTTTGTTACTACTGAGAAAGTGTATATGCTGAGTTGTACAATTAGACTGAGTCTGGAGGTATTCGACCTTCAGCACTTTGTATTGATTTGTGCGGTGTGAAATTATTTGAAAATCTTTTATGTTAGGTGAATGTTGATGACTGAGGTGTGTTGAAATGGATGAAATTAGGTTATTGATGAAAAGTGTGATATTTTTCTCAAAAGAAGAAAGAGTTTTATGTATGAAATGAAATGATATGACATGATGATGAAATTGTGAGAAATGCGATTACAATGTGGGAGCCAGAATAGATTGATGGATGTAATTATGATACAAGTATTGTGTTACATTAAAAGGTACACTCATAATACATTTATTGTAATACATTAAGTTATATGATCAAGACTTACGTATTATGACACGTTGATCTATGAAAAAGATATGAAAAAAAATGAAAATAGTTCAGAAATGTTAAGAATAAGTATAGATAGTTACAGAGATACACATGAAGTATAGAGTCCGGAGAAGATTTGAAAAATATTGGACAAATGAGGGTAGTGAATGCTAATTGTAAAATAGTGCATAATGATTTGCTGAAAGTGAAAGCATATACAGGCCACACACTCATTTACTGACGAGATTCCTGAATATACATTTGCTAAAAGTAAACAGGTCGGCACACGTGTATCCGTGTTGTTGTGGTTAACCAACAGTTATCTATGCTATGAAGTCTTTAAGGGATCCCAAGGGCAATGAATATAAAAGTGTAATGGAAGTAAAAGTGTGATGAATATGAAGTAGTATAAAAATTGTATGATTATAATATATGCATTATAATTGTAATAAATCGACGGGTGCGATTAGAACACATGTATTATGACATATTAATTGATGTGGTATAATACATGTATCATGATATACAGATTAGTTTGAAAATGCATGTTATACATAATTACAAAGATGATTGATTAGTTGTCATGTATGTAGTCCGCTGTGATAATGATTTATATACTCTGAGTGTTATTATTAATCCAATATTTTTAATATTATATTTGTATATATATACACTTTTCTTCTATCAAATAAGAGATTTATTGGAATAGAAAATACTCACTTTTACTAATATATTTTAGGTAATGAAAGTGAAGAGATAAAGAAAGCTGGTCCGTTCTAGGATCATAATCCAATGGTATGGAAAGGAAGACTGCTCTGTAGGGAGTAGGACAGTTTGAGAAATTATAATATTTTATCCTAATTACATTTCATATTGACAAAATTATGTAAATATTTCTTTTATGTCAAATTTTAGAATTTATAATGCTTTGGTGAATTTTGTTGTAATAAATAACTTGGAAAGGTTCTTAATGATATTTTAAACTTATATGTATCTACTGTAAACCAAATAATTTGCTAAATGTAAATTAAATTTTATTTATTACTTTAAAGTCTTGAACTTATTCCTTTGAAAGTTTTAAATATTGTAGAATTTTATAAAATTTTCATAGAAGGAATGCAAGTTTTGTTTTTATTCAATTCTTAAATCTATGAAATAGAACAAAATTGTTTTATTTTCCATTTTATTATAAAAATTTATTTAGTTATTTTTATACAAAATTGAGGATGTTACAAGGATGGAAGTACAGGAGACGGTTGAGCAATGGGATCAACCCAATGAGACCTTCCATGCTTATATAAGATAGACGGATGGGAAAGGGGTAATAGGGGAATTTTAACCTGAAAAGGATAACGTTGTGGGGGATTCAATTAGAGGAGACAGAGAAGCATAAAAAAGAAGAAAGCTAGCAGCAAGTGAATGGAAAGGATCCACACTGAATGCTTATATAGGGATGGTGTCACAGGTTGTGGGCAGGTATAACAGAATTTTGGGCCAGTTTGGTGGCAAGTTGCATTGGTTGGGGACAGCTCATTGCAGTTTCTGGGTATCTATTGTTTTCTCAACTATTTTCCTACTGTCCCTGTATTTTCCAGAGGATTTCCTCCATTGTAGGGAGCAGAACTCCAACTGTTGGATAGATAATATTCAGTTCAGTGATTATCAGTGTTCTATCAAAACTTTTCAATTTTGGCTAATTATGCACTGCAATAATACAAAGTTTTGTTTATGCTTTACAACTAGGTTAAGATGTTGTATCTATCGAATAATCAATCAACACAAAAAATGAAAAAAATTGAAAGGTAATAACTTACCAAAGCAGCAGCACATCTGATACGAGGTGATGGACTTTGAAATGTATCAATATTAAGTTCTCCTTTTCTGATGTTATATGGTAACGGTTTCATCCCAATAATGTTTGGTCCAGTATGCTTAACATCAACTAGAGGCTGACTTGTAATACCAACTGCATACAGAAAAGGAACAAAAACTTATTCCATGATTTAAGAAACTTGTGGCACAAAATTCAAAGCATCATGTTACTAGAACTGAGCAGTATTGAGATGCATAAAATCATTGTACCTGGTAATAATAGAGATGAACTGCCAACACAACTTTCCATTGACATCCACTTCTTGATTATGGCCAAATGCTAAGATTGCTAGCTGTTAAGCATGTTGAGGCAAATAACAAATTGTCAGTTTCAAATAGATATATATGACGAGCTAGACATGTGAAAAATTTCTCGTAATTTACTTGAATTCATTTCACATCATTGATCATTTAGGCCATGACTGAATTAACACCTAGTAAGAATTCATTTTATTTCTTTATAGAATTATGATTGAATTCTAGTGGTTGAACTTTCAAATTTTTATAACAAGTAGATTGAATTTCAATGTTTAGATAGCAAAGTAAATTAGTTAATTTATAGAATTCTACTAAATTAACAATTTTACACTTTTACACCAATATCTTCTTTTGCCAGATAGTTTTACTCATTTATCCCCATTCAAAGAGACAATCAATGTGCAAGCAAATGCTAGTCCTTGATACAAAGCTTATGTTGCACTTAACAAGCTCTACGGAAATGTAATTCTAAAAATAGTGATAAATCACACTGTAGTTTTCTAGAACAAGAAGGTGAAGGCTTCAAATGTGTAATTGCTATACTTTCAGCTACGGAAAAGCATGTCCATCTGAGAATTTAAGAATATGTTAGCGTATGATGAAACAGATGAAGGACTTGGCAGCTATCTTTTAATAGGAAATATTGAACATAAAAGCCAAGCCCAATGCATAAGGTCATATAGGTTGGCATCTGGTTGAGCAACTGGGATAAAAAAACAACAGGACATTTAAAGAACATTGAACTTTTATTGATCAACTATATAGCATTAACTAGTTGAAAATTGAAAAAATATTACTCACACTAATTTTTTTATGACTTGGCAAGTCTTAATATAGAACACTAAGAAAGGTCAATTCAACAAACAAAGGGGAGCAATGGTACTTGATTGTGGTCTCTTGTTTTTCTACATAACTTTAGTTTTGAATTCAACTTGACCTAATAGTTAAGATAGAAGATACCAGAGCACATAACTGAAAAGAGATAAACTAGAAACAACATTGGACCCACAACCGAAACATAAACATAAAAACTATCTATTTTGATGTGCATAAACAAATTGAAATAGATCTTTCAAATTCTGCATTTGTACCAAAAATAAATAACAGGAAAAATATCCATTGTCTGATATGGTCAAGAGAAATCAAGTGTGCCCTGAGTCAAACCTCACAGAAGCAAAAGCTTCATCATATCAAATTCAGCACAACACTATAAACAATTACAAGAGTAACATTCCAAAATTCGACTGGTAACTGTATACTATGACTAAGAAAAGTCCAACAATTTCCAAAGATAACTAATTTGATGTTGCATAAGCATCAGTTTACATGAGTACAACTGTGGACAGTAACAGAGGACAACCACAATAAGTGGATGACAATTTTCTACCAAAAAGCTGTTTGTGTGTGAGCGAGAGAGACTAAGGAGCATAGCAAGAAATATTGGGAAAGTTCATATTAATTTGTAAGGTTAATAATAACACAATAGCATGATATAACAAGAAAAAAATTTCACAGAACTCATTATCAATTTTTAACAACTTGAATTAAAGACTAACCCAAAATACGTTACAAATTGTGGAACCTTCTTCTTTCTTGACATTGCAGTAAGCATATGGTGAAAATAATTATAACCAAATTATACGTAAAGCATACAAAATTGAGCTTGCAGTTTGATTGCAATTTGTGTTGTGGTTGTGACCATTGGATTTTTCTATTTTTATTTTTTCTGTTATTGACGCAAACTACAACGGAAACAAAATGTAGTTGCAGTCAATAGTCACAAAAATCAGAAAATTCAGGCAACACCTGCAGTTGTTGTGAGAAATTGACACAGAATAACACAAAATTCATATTCTACTCGAAGAATAAATGGTTAGCAGCAAGCAAAGATTGTAACAGAAGTACAACCCTAAACAAACCAACGGAATCACCAAATATAAGAAATCCCTCACCTCATAAGCAATCACCAAAACACTCATAATAAAATAAAATTATAAAAGACACAAGAAAACACTAAACCGAAAAAAAAAAATTATCTGGGTAAGAGTAATATCAAAGGTATAATAGTAAAGAGAACAAATAAAATGTTCTGTTTTTCTTGTTATTCTCGCCCAAAACCCTATCAACTACCCTTTTTCAAACTATTCTTCTTCTTACAATTACAAATTCAATCTCTTATAATCAAAATATCACGTGGAGGAATGGATTTAATTGAACACAAACTTGGATAATTGAACAAAAGTATCGATAACAAAGAGAACGAAGTGATAGAGGGAAGAGCGCAATTGAAACCTACATAAAAATGAAAACATGTGATCGCGAGTATAATGGAAATGCATTAAAGGGGCCATTACCTAAGTCTGAGAGACGAAGGTGGCGAAAGTTATGGGCTCGCTGGGTTCAGAAGGCTCATCTAATGAGCGAAAAGAGAAGGGCGGTGAATGCTTAACCCGTTCGGGTACTGCAATTCTTTCGAAACTGCGGGAAGAATAAATTATGGATATGATTTACGTCAAAATTAAGAAACATTATTTATGTGTTTATTAATTTAAATTTTAAAACTATACTAAAGTGTTTATTAATTTCAAATAAATTATAGTTAAATTTTATAAAAGAATTTTTTTAACGTGATTAAAATTATTATTATTCATTAATGAAAATAAATAGTTTAATCAAGAAATTCATATTTTTTATATAATTTGAATCAATTAATTTTTATTTAAATTTAGTATATTATAAATTAATCAAAATAAATATGTAAACCAATTAATTAGTATAAGTTGTATTCATTCTATCTTTTTTCTTGTTTAATTGTTTTATAATTTTAAGTATGTTTTATTTTTTTAATTGCTTACAAAATTTAAGACACATTAATTCTTCTTTTGTTAATATTATTTTTAATTATAACTAATCACTTTATTAAAGTCTTCTATTTTTAAGTTTATTTGTCAAAACTCTTCGAATTTCTCTCAATGAATGAATACATTATTAACTCTATTATGAAGAGTTTTTATTGATGAGAGTATATTAGAAAATTATATAAGAAATATTTAATAAATTTATATTATCCAATTATATTTTTAATTTCTATGCATAACCTTAAAATTGAAGAAGTTATAATTTCAATCAAATATAGTAATTATTTTAAATATTTTTTTAATTTAAATATACACAAAAATTATGTTATATATAATTTTTTTTCATATATTTACTTGATATTGCAACTATACACTTAAAAGGACATCTTATATCTTTTTTAAAACAGATCACTAACTCACTATCTATTTATTGAACATATTTAACATAATATTAAAAGTTATAATTATTCCATGTGTACTAAAGGTATAGAATACTATTTTAATTTTCAAGACACCATAAAAATTATCTTTATTATTTCTTTTTGTTGATTTATGATTTAATTTTTTATTTTATTCAATACATCTTTTATTTTAATTTTTTAACTTCAGTTCTTTTTCCTTACTGTCAGTGTAGATGGGTATTCAAGAGCTCATCATGTGTGAATCTGGGATCTCGTTGAAGAATGGTGGAATACTATCTCAAGAGCTGATCAATGAAGACGATAAGATGACAATAGGGAGTGAATTTGGGTGAAAAGCAAACAGAGAAGGTCGAACACACGTTGAAAAAATGGACATGAATAGAAACCCAATGATGAAAGAAGAATGAAGAAAGCTCATATGATACCTTTCCCTCAGCCAAACCAATAAAGAGAAAAAAACATGGCTGAGACATTTGATGTCAAATTCTCCTCTGCGTAACATTGGTTTATCATGTTTGTTTTCTGTTAGTAATTGTGTAAGAAAGAAAAAAAGTGGAGGATGAACTTTTATGTGGAAAGATCTTCGAGTTGATATACTTTTCATCTTTCATAAATCATATTGATATGAGAATCTCATCAAGGGTGGCGGGTACTCTTATCGGTGTGCTATGGGTGTGTGTGGATTCCCTGACCAATATAAAAAATCCTTACCTGCTCTCTTCTTTGAAATCTCTTTACACAAGATTATTGCAAGAAATGACCAAGTCTTTGTGGACTTTGCAAGAAAAGCTTGGAAGGGTGATCATTATGCATGAAAAGAGGCTAGGTTAAGGTAGGATTTGTATAAACAGGTCTAATTTGTTTAATAATTTTAAATTCAAAACTTGAACTATTATTTGTTATAAACTTTTTATTAAGTTTAATTTGTTCTTTTTAAAAGTCTAATTTGACTTGTTAATTTTTTTAATGTTCTATTTAGTATTGAAATATTCAATAATTTATTAAATTTTTTTATAAATAGACTATTTATCTAAATAGATATGTCTGTTTAAAAAACATAAGACTTATATCTAATAAATAAACTATTAAAAAAATAATTCATTGAATATGTATAATAAAATTATATATTTTTATTTATCATTTTTAAATCACATTTAATTTAAATAAGTAAATCACTACACATACAAAAAAATACAATAAAATAAAGATCAATTTATAAATAATTAAGTAAATCTAGTAACATAAAGTCTTATACATTAAATCAACAAACACAATATAACTAAACAAGTTTCAAACCTAAAATTAGTAAATACAACAAACAAAAATCTAAAATGTACAAATAATAATATTTTTTTATAGTAAATAGAAAACAACAAATATTTCATCAGATTTTTAAGAAGACCTCTTTATATTATTCATCAACCTTCAAAATAAAGAAAAATATTATTAAAATATAAATACTTTAAAAATAGTGATTACAAATATTTTTAAAAAATACTTTTAGAAGTTATTACCTTTAATTTTCTCATCAAATTATATTTGTGACAAAGATAATTGAATTTTTATTTATTATTAATATATTATTATATAGTATTTTTTTATATAAAGTTATTTAATATATTATTATAAATCTTCTGAATTTTAATTAGGCCATTCTAAGAGGCCTAATAGACTTTTTTTTAAGTTCAAGCCTGACCTATTTAATTAAGTAAATTTTTTAAACAATCTAAATTAAATCTATTAATTAAATAAACTAGGTCAAGTTAAGCTATAAATAGGTTGGCCTATTTCCATCCCTAGTGATCATGAATACTAGTTTAACCAACTTATTCAAAGATACGTAATCTTATTGATTTAGAGGATTTGAGAAACTCATACATTTTTGCCTAATGGTTAAGGCAACAAAGATTATGTGTAAGACTCATGAAAAATATTTAAGTGCAGGAACTTTTATTCAATAAATGACTTAGCAGGTTTGAATAGAAAATGCTCCCAAGACATCTCAAACCTTGAGATATGAGATATCGTGGTTATCATAGAATAGGAAACAAATCACATGACAAAGGACATTTTGAACTAAATGTCGCTCTTATTGCAGTGAGCCTCGGGTAAAAGTCTCTTGGTTGCAAGCACCCAAACAGAATAAACCACATTTCTTTACATTGAAAAAGGAAGTTGCACCTTATGCCAGTGCTGTTGTGACTAACTAAACATGGTTAGTAAACCACCTGCCAACTTTGCAACTATAAGTGTCTTGCTTGTATCACCCCTTTACTGGCTTGAACAAAAATAGTTATTGCTTTTTAGTGCTTCTAACTATTGGCCTCTCCTAAAAAGGAATGAAAGGGACTTGTCATGTATTCAATACATCAGAAACAAGCTCTTGTAGTGTTAACTTAGATAGCAGTTAGGAGAAATCACTTTATAACAACATAAATCGATTTGTTACGACATATATATTATAATCATACAAATTTTATACCATTTCACATCTATAACACTTTCATAATAATTGCCCTTTGGATCCCTTGAGAACTTCCTAGCATAGATAGCTGTTGGTTGGCCGCAACATCACGGATACACGTGTGCCACCCTGTCCCCTTTTAGCAAAGGTATAGCCAGGAGTTTCGTCAGAAAATGAGGGTGGCCTGTGAATGTCTATTTTTCCATAAATTATCGTGCACCCTTTTATTGTTAGCATTCACCATCCTCATTTTTCCAAGATTTCTCAAATCTTCTCCGAACTCTATACCCCAGTGTATCGTTGTATTATCTATACTTATTCTCTTTCTCTTTCTTATCATTTTTCATTTTCATATTCTTTTTATCGATTTACATGTCAATACGTGAGTTACAATTGATATAAATCTATGGATCACAATAGATATCATAATACACCCTTCAATGTGCTATAATATATATCGTAATCACCCTTTTTAAGTTACTTTGACCCATGCATTATAATTATGCATCCCATTCTTTCTCAAACATATTCTCTTTTCTTTTTCATATATTACATACTTTCAAAATCAATCAACACTTCAATTATTCATGTGAATTTACCTAATTTGGATACATTTAAGCTATCAATATCATATCTATACTTATTGCATTATGTCGGTCTAACATAGAAAGTTATCATCCAATATCACACCATGGAATCAGTATAATAGGCCATTCTGACATAGAAACTATCATATATCCCACCATACAATTAATACAATATATCAATCTTAGCACAAAGATTATTACACAATATCACACCATACAATCAGTGCAATACGTCGAAGGTCGAACACCTTCGGGCTCAGTCCAACTAATTCAATCTCAATATGGTGTTATAACCTAAAGTTTATTATTTTATATCCTTTATTACTTAACTCATCAGCATTATAAGGAACTTAATTCTAAAACTTCTTAAAACTATTCTAATTCATATCTTTTTCTATGAATTTGATTTAATTAGTTTCAAATGAACTCAAAACCCTTCTTTATACCAAAAATATATTTTCACCATATGATTTCATAAAATTATAGATTATTACAAAAATAAGTTATTCAGATTCTCCTAAGCTCATCATATATGTATATAAAATTAAAGTTCGAGAATACTCTCCTTACCTAGTAACAATTTCTCAAAACTAGTTTTCTGAGGGATCTACGGAGATATTCCACTGTATCAACGGAGATATTGTCCAAAAGATGAAGTTTCCTAAGTATTTCAAGATAGATGTCTTAATATGAGAAGAAAACAAAAAAAAAGGAATAAAATAGAGATATGAACTCTGAGAAACTTATTTAGATTTGAATGAAATTAATGCTTGAGCTCGGATTTGGAAGAAATTTGAAGCCCGTGAGAGTTCTCTTTAGAGAGACGAAGGAGAGGAAAAAAGAGAAAATGAAGAGAGAAGGTCGTTTGGTAAGAAATGAATATTTTTTAGGCTAAGGTTCCTTAAATATCCTTCTAAACTCGCGTGATCCTACTTGAGCCATAAGATTCTTACTTAAGCAAACTTCCATCCTCGCCTGAGTGAGCCTTCCTCGCTTGAGCAAGACAACTAGACAGCGATACTATCCATTTTTCTGATATTCTTGCTTGAGCGAGATCTACCTCACTTGAGCGGGATTGAGTCCAGAGAGTACCCTATCTTTCCTGTGATTCCTCACCTGAGCAAGATCCCTTTCTCGCCTAGGCGAGAGGCGAGAGGACAATTGAGGCAACGTTATCTTATTTTTGCTTGAGCGAGATATTATCTAT